CTCCCCCCCCGCCTGCCCCCCTGCACCTCTTCCCCCAAGCGCTGCCCCTGCTCCATCCCCGCCTGCCCCCCTGCACCTCTTCCGCCAAGCAATGCCCCAGCTCCACCCCCGCCTGTCCCCCTGCCCCTCTTCCCCCAAGCAAGGCCCCAGCTCCATCCCCGCCTGTCCCCCTGCCCCTCTTCCCCCAAGCAAGGCCCCAGCTCCATCCCCGCCTGTCCCCCTGCCCCTCTTCCCCCAAGCAAGGCCCCAGCTCCATCCCCGCCTGTCCCCCTGCCCCTCTTCCCCCAAGCAAGGCCCCAGCTCCATCCCCGCCTGTCCCCCTGCCCCTCTTCCCCCAAGCAAGGCCCCAGCTCCATCCCCGCCTGTCCCCCTGCCCCTCTTCCCCCAAGCAAGGCCCCAGCTCCATCCCCGCCTGTCCCCCTGCCCCTCTTCCCCCAAGCAAGGCCCCAGCTCCATCCCCGCCTGTCCCCCTGCCCCTCTTCCCCCAAGCAAGGCCCCAGCTCCATCCCCGCCTGTCCCCCTGCCCCTCTTCCCCCAAGCAAGGCCCCAGCTCCATCCCCGCCTGTCCCCCTGCCCCTCTTCCCCCAAGCAAGGCCCCAGCTCCATCCCCGCCTGTCCCCCTGCCCCTCTTCCCCCAAGCAAGGCCCCAGCTCCATCCCCGCCTGTCCCCCTGCCCCTCTTCCCCCAAGCAAGGCCCCAGCTCCATCCCCGCCTGTCCCCCTGCCCCTCTTCCCCCAAGCAAGGCCCCAGCTCCATCCCCGCCTGTCCCCCTGCCCCTCTTCCCCCAAGCAAGGCCCCAGCTCCATCCCCGCCTGTCCCCCTGCCCCTCTTCCCCCAAGCAAGGCCCCAGCTCCATCCCCGCCTGTCCCCCTGCCCCTCTTCCCCCAAGCAAGGCCCCAGCTCCATCCCCGCCTGTCCCCCTGCCCCTCTTCCCCCAAGCAAGGCCCCAGCTCCATCCCCGCCTGTCCCCCTGCCCCTCTTCCCCCAAGCAAGGCCCCAGCTCCATCCCCGCCTGTCCCCCTGCCCCTCTTCCCCCAAGCAAGGCCCCAGCTCCATCCCCGCCTGTCCCCCTGCCCCTCTTCCCCCAAGCAAGGCCCCAGCTCCATCCCCGCCTGTCCCCCTGCCCCTCTTCCCCCAAGCAAGGCCCCAGCTCCATCCCCGCCTGTCCCCCTGCCCCTCTTCCCCCAAGCAAGGCCCCAGCTCCATCCCCGCCTGTCCCCCTGCCCCTCTTCCCCCAAGCAAGGCCCCAGCTCCATCCCCGCCTGTCCCCCTGCCCCTCTTCCCCCAAGCAAGGCCCCAGCTCCATCCCCGCCTGTCCCCCTGCCCCTCTTCCCCCAAGCAAGGCCCCAGCTCCATCCCCGCCTGTCCCCCTGCCCCTCTTCCCCCAAGCAAGGCCCCAGCTCCATCCCCGCCTGTCCCCCTGCCCCTCTTCCCCCAAGCAAGGCCCCAGCTCCATCCCCGCCTGTCCCCCTGCCCCTCTTCCCCCAAGCAAGGCCCCAGCTCCATCCCCGCCTGTCCCCCTGCCCCTCTTCCCCCAAGCAAGGCCCCAGCTCCATCCCCGCCTGTCCCCCTGCCCCTCTTCCCCCAAGCAAGGCCCCAGCTCCATCCCCGCCTGTCCCCCTGCCCCTCTTCCCCCAAGCAAGGCCCCAGCTCCATCCCCGCCTGTCCCCCTGCCCCTCTTCCCCCAAGCAAGGCCCCAGCTCCATCCCCGCCTGTCCCCCTGCCCCTCTTCCCCCAAGCAAGGCCCCAGCTCCATCCCCGCCTGTCCCCCTGCCCCTCTTCCCCCAAGCAAGGCCCCAGCTCCATCCCCGCCTGTCCCCCTGCCCCTCTTCCCCCAAGCAAGGCCCCAGCTCCATCCCCGCCTGTCCCCCTGCCCCTCTTCCCCCAAGCAAGGCCCCAGCTCCATCCCCGCCTGTCCCCCTGCCCCTCTTCCCCCAAGCAAGGCCCCAGCTCCATCCCCGCCTGTCCCCCTGCCCCTCTTCCCCCAAGCAAGGCCCCAGCTCCATCCCCGCCTGTCCCCCTGCCCCTCTTCCCCCAAGCAAGGCCCCAGCTCCATCCCCGCCTGTCCCCCTGCCCCTCTTCCCCCAAGCAAGGCCCCAGCTCCATCCCCGCCTGTCCCCCTGCCCCTCTTCCCCCAAGCAAGGCCCCAGCTCCATCCCCGCCTGTCCCCCTGCACCTCTTCCCCCAAGTAATGCCCCAGCTCCATCCACCCCCCTGCACCTCTCTTCCGAACAGTGGAGCCTGGGGGCACAGATGGTGGTGAGCCCCTTCCCTTGGCGGCAGGAAGGAGTGGCCTGGCCCAGCCCACTGCGCTCCCCTGAGCTGGGTTCCCGGGCCTGGGCTGCTCCAGCTCCTGCGGCTCCTGCTGCCACCATGAGTGCGGGCGTGGGCTCCGCATGCAGCCCTGAGGGCCCCAGCAGCCTTAGGAACGACAGCTCTGGCTGGTGCTCTGACACA